GCTCCGGCTCCGGGCAAAATATGCCGGCTCCGGCTCCGGCTCCGCATCCCTGGTCCAGAGGTCCACCTATAGCTTCATAGGTCAGTGACCTTACGTGACCGTAAAATACAGTTGATGCTACAAAATGTGGCTTGAATCGAACGACAGATGTACCAAATTTCAGCATTCTACCTGAAACGCGTTCCGAGCGAAAAACTTCGATGCATTGATTATTTGATCGTAGATGTTGAAGGATGTATTATTGTAGGTATACTCGACTTTCGAGTCCGTCAGTTTGTAGTCTTTTTCGTTTTATGATAACTCTCTGTATTACACCCATCTTACAGGCTGAAAAAGTCGAAGACATGCGGCTGCGATTCTAGCCGGACGGCTTCCGGAATTACCGGCGTGTTTGGCCGTGAAATGCGGCTCTTATCAGTAGTGTTGGGCCGTGATGTTGGCCGGTGGGCCGGACACCTTGGAAAAACGGCGTCGGTCCGCGCTCCGACCTTGCCTGCATTCCGGGCATTCTGCGCACGGTCGGGGTCGGAGAAGGCATGCCGCTGTGCTATCGACAATGACATGGATGTGCGTGGGACGAATGATGTTTATTGCAACTTCTGCGAGGACGGCAGGGGGCTAATTGAAGTGCGAATAGCGTTTTCATGAGATAACACCAAAGCATTGTAGCATTTACATATAGTTCAATCATCAATGTTCATGTCATGGACCGGAAAGCTTTCAGATTACTGCAAGTAAAAATTGTTTACTGCCAGCACCAAATGGCAAATTTATATAACTGTTTTGGTACAGATCCTAATCCACCCGTCATGATAAGTAATTCCAACTTTATTCGCACCGTTAAGTAAATTAGCAGCCTTTATCTTTGCTTGGCCTCGGCGGCGAATCGAGAACGATACTGATCTACGTGAAGGTCGTATTTGCAACCGGCTCACTGCGCAGCTTCGTGAACAGTTACCGGCATTTCGGCGAATAATGACGCGGCTTTACACGAGGTGTGACGCAGAAGTGGGTACGTCATCAATGCATCACGTGGTGGGCATGGGGACTCTGGAAGCTTTCCATTACGGCTGCGCTGCGTGGGAGATAGGCTGTTCTGTTACGTAACTGCAGTCACATCTCCGCAGCTCCATCTTCCCATTTTGCGACTCGTGAATGGTTATGCATCTTGTTTCCGACGTGGCGTGAATGTATGTAGCATCGAAGCACGTCATGCGGCAAGGTCACACAGTTTACCTATCAGACAAATCAAGTTGGTAGACAACTTGTGCAGTTGGCTGGCAGCCAATGCCATTTACCAATAGCGAAATATTGCGATGTAACGACTCTCGTCCGTTTTCGCTGTCAACGATCGGTTGAATTTTCGTACCTGCCAGTCAATGGCGGATCAAGTCGGCATTCCATAGAGGTGTTGGGACCATATCATCTGACCGTAAAAATAATATCATCATATGCTGCGAGCAAAGCTAAAAATAACTGGGGTCGGACCCCCCCCCCCCCTCTTCCTCCCCCGTCTCCCCTTCCACGTCCGCCCCTGCCGCGTAATGCATGACTGCGCTGCATTTGGACCGTGCAGGCCGTTGGGTACGGACGCCCGACCTCAACCGCTTTCAGCCGGCGTGAGAGCTGCACCGGCCCTGCGGAGTTACGTGTTCCGACACGTTCCGCCCCTCCCCCTCCCTGCATCCCTACCGACCGCCGACCGACGCCGGACCGCTGCACTGAGGCACCACCACACTGCTGAGCGGTGCTCACCGCCGCTCGCCCACCGCTCGCTCGCCGACTCATCGCCCGCTCGACCGCTCGCCGCCCGCCGTCAAGTCGCGGTGGGGCTGGTGTGTGCATTGAGCGTTGAGCCATTGACCCTCAGCATATAGGGCCTTGCCCTCAGCCACTTGCCGGCTCCGCTTCCTGTGTGCGTGTCTCTGCGTGTTGGGGAGAGAGGAGGAATCCCAGAGAACTGCGACGTGCCCGGCGCGGCACGTAGAAATTCGGGGAACGGGCGTGGAAACGCCATGCGTTGCGCCATCTCGGGCAGGAGGAGGCGCGTAATTCCTGGGATGCCTGATGACACAGTTGGCGGAGTCTATGCGGCATCATGCGACGTGCATTTTTTCATGATTTCGTCGGCTTTTTTGTATGTATGTATGTATTGACGATCAAGAGCAATCCACAATCGGCGTGGCGATTACACTCTTTTGGCGGTTGATATTAGCAGTCGATGGCATATCCCCTTGATAGATAGTCTGTATTTGTTCTTTCGAGCAGCATCTGTACCGATGCATTCCATATTTCGCTACTTCAAAAAATGGGGAAAAAATATTTCTTCGAAGCAGATATGTCCCCTTCAGACTTTGTTCGGCCACGCCCTTTTTCCTCCATTGGGTTACCAGCCTCGCCCCAATCCTGTCATGCAGGCACCCCCTCCGGCAGTACCGGGACCTACTCACTGGCCCTCTTGGAATGTTATTGACTATTCGGCGGTAGACCTAACCCCACCCCGCACACAATGAACCGGCGGCCGCCGCCTTCAAACGGTCCCCGGCCACGCCACCCGCCGCGGGCCGCCGGAAGCACGCCTCCCTCCGTCCCCAGGCCTCCCGACTGTCCCCCCTCGCCTCCCTCCCCGGACCCTCCGGACTGTCCCCTCCCCTCCCTCACCACGAGGGGGCGAGACCGGCACGAATGGCACGATGACGTCACGTGCGGTCGGCTGTGGTATGTGGAATGGATCTCCGGCGGATCTTCAAATTGCAGATCATCTTTTGCTCCGATCCACCACTAAGCTGAAATACAGAGGTAGCAGAGGTGCAAGCCTTTTGACTGAGAGCTTGTAGATGGGATGCGTGGAAATCCGAATGAATCAAATAGAAAAATAATACATTTTACATTTAAACGAAAATATACCTACAATAAACAGGGGGTAAATAGGGGTAAATGTATCGACCATCGGATTGCCAGACAATAGCGTTGTATCCCATTACGCTCTGGGGCTCGGTCGAGGCTAACAATTGAGTGCTGACTGCAGACTTCATGCAAGCCCCGACTCAAGTCACCTGATGCCGCCGCCCCCCCCCCCCCCCAGTGGTCACGAGCCTGGCACGTGCCTCTGCACCGAGAGGCTGCCTGAGGTGGTTGTCCATGTCCGGTGCAGCTCGCGTTCGAACAGTCTGTGCAGATTGAATTTGAACTCCGGGTTCGAGTTTAAACCATCCGTACCTACGCCTGTACTATGAAGTTAGCCGGGTGCAATGGACACTGGACAGGCGTCTGCATAGTTCGCAGAGCACATTTTTTTGGTATAAGCGAATACCGGAGATTTTCTTAACTAAGGAGTAATGAGATTTTTTTAAGTTTTAGAGAAACTTCAGAGATCCCCCACATCGTCCGGTATCACCTTTATGAGTCAAATAAATAATGTGTCGAGGCTGGTGTCCCAGTCCCCCTCCCCTGTGCCCCCTTCAGCCTTGTCACATTGCTCTTTGTCATACCGCAGTGAACTTGGTTGCAGCGTCACATTATGTGGGCGGGGGTGGGGGCGTCCCACCCCTTTACCGCGCGGAACGTCCGCTGAGGCGGACACAGTCTGAGTCAACTGTCAGGTCACGGTGTGCGGGTTCTGTGGGTACCGGGAGGTGACCGCCCCGAACCGCCCGTTCCGCTGTGCGGGCACCGGTCATTGGATAGCCACGACTACATGGCACTGGGTAGTGGGCAGGCGACTGCCTTGGGTAGGATCGGCTTGCCAGGCCCCCTGTGGGTACTTGATGGGTGTTGAGTGATGACAGCTGCTAGCCGATCTGCGGGGGGCAGCTGGTGTCGGCGGGCAGGGCAGCTGTCCGATCCACGTGGCAGTGCGGGCTGCGAGGTGCGTGTCGTTTGGGCACGGGCGCCAGGTGGTCACCGGCGATGTCGGCCTCTGTGTTGGCGGCTGCAGGGCTGAGGCGGGCTTGGGGCGTGGTGAACAGAGCGCAGAGCTACAGGAGCCAGTCAGAACAGATGTGCGTGCTGTCATATCCCTTTCTTTTTCCTTCTCTCTTCCTCTTATTTTAGTGTACAGGACTCACTGAAATGGCTGCTCCTCAGAGTGGTATAAAAGAAAAACTTGCAATCAGACTTACCAAAGAACGAACGAACGAAAGAATGGACAGATGACAGACTTGCAGGCAGACGGACGGACAGACGAACGAACTGACTGACGTACGGAGACGAGGGGTGGCGGCGCTCTGGTCGGACGGTGACGTCATGTCGTGTTACAGGTCACACACACACACGTGTCGCAGGTCACATACACGTGTCACGGAGGCTCGGAGCACCCAGTGGGCACGGTGGACACACGCCACGTGAACTGGATGGTGGCGGTGATGGGACGATCGTTTCATTGTTGCATGATTGCTGGCCCTCGGTGGATGGTTTCTTCTATTTTACAGGGCTGTGAAGGTCCCGGATGTTTCTCTTCGTGCGCCAAATACACTTACTTCAGTCTTCAGTTGCCTTATTTTTGTCATGTTAAATCAACCGCAATTCCGTAAAAAATCCAGGTACTTTATCTAAAGTTTTTGCTGTTATCATAGCGCACTCATATTCACGATTTTTAGTCAAATTGGTAAATTCGTAATATCATTGCGGTTTGTTCTCAGGCACCTTATATCGAAATGTGTCCTGACACTTTGACATTTATCCGTCTATTATGTAAGATGTAGAAAATGGTTGTGTACCGCGCCTTTCCTTTGGCTCGTGCCTGCCTCGTATAAGGCTCGTCATCTTCCTTGCACCTACCTCGCATCTTCTAGCTCCCGAGTCTTGGCTTCCTCACACTTTTTCGTGTCTGCATTGTACTCGATTTATTATTCCTTCGTACTTACCTTTTACCGGCTTTGTGTCAGTCTCTGACCAGCATCTTACCAGCCTCGTAGCTGGCTTGTATCTGGCTCGTACCAGCCTCGTATCTGGCTCGTGGCTGTCCCCTGCCTTTCGCTGACGGTGCCGTGTCTCTGCAGGAGAGGCCGAGGAGGAAGAGGACCTGGAGGAGTCAGCCGACAAGCCGCGCTCTCTGTCTCGCGGCGAGCGCTCCCACCTGATCGTGTGGCAGGTGTCCGTACCAGACTAGTCACCCGACGAGCCGCCTGGTTGAAGGCTTGTCGACATACGAGTCGCCTGGTTCGCGACTTGTCCTTTGACGAGCCGACCAGGCGGGTCCGGTTCGTCGCCGGCTGGCGTGTTCGTGTGCGTGTGTGCGTGTATTTATTGCAATTGTCGGGACGTTTTAGTAGTGATTCGTGGCTTATGCGGACGCTCGTTGGTGATATGGACTGTGCGGTCGCACGCTGACCTGCGCGGTAACCCGTGCGCACTGTCACGGCACGGTTGGACAACTAGGCAGCATTGTGCAGCGTCACGCTACAATGATGAATTTTTTCACTTTGCCTTCGGTGTAGCAGTCGGGACAGGCAGCGGCCCATGACGGTCGGGTTTTAGCGAAAAAGTGTGTGAGCGTGCGCGCGTATGTGTGTCTGTGTAATGTGTTCCATTGAAGTGCATGCAATGCGTTGTGGTAGGAGGGCAGGCGGCACGCTCTGGTCTAGTCGGAGGTCGGAGGTCGAGCGCCGGCCGTGAGTGACTTCGTGACCCGGTGATTGCCCGAGGCTATCGCGGCGCTGGGCTGTTATATTTATTCTTACTGGACTTATTTAGCTGCAGAGTACCTACGGGTGGATCACCCGAACGTCGGTCAGGCAGGCGCGAACGGCGGTGGACACGGTGTGGGACGTGTAGCTGCGGCTGACGGCGGCGCGCACGCGGTCCTCCAGTGGCCGCACACTCAGTCATACGGCTCGGTCTAGGCTGCCGCGGATGTGGGCTTTTCAGCAGGGCGGTATGATTCAGGTTTCGGCCGACAATCGTCGATGAGCCGGGGGACTTTTGGCCCGTCCCCCGGCAAGCCCTACGCTTGGTGTCGGCTCCACACGCCTGGTTGACCCGTTCCGACCCCGGCGCGGACCGCCGGGATGGGGCCTGGTCCGTGTTGGGGTCTCATTCCCGCGTCCCCAGGCCGGGATACCCGGCGCGTGGCGCGTGCATGCCCCCGAAGGCTTGACCTCCGCGACAGCTGGGCTGTTGTTGGTTGTTTGATTTGGATATTTTATGCGTTTTAATGTGTCCGGCGCGGTGCAATCTAGTGTTACACGACGCGCTGAAGTGTGCTCTCTGGCATGGAGGGGTTGCAAAACCTAACGGAGAAATGTATCCAACTGCTTACTCAAAACTGTGACGGGCTTCACTAAACGGAATCTACGCACTCCCGATCGTTTGAAGTCATGTACGCATTGTGGTGCAGAGATCTGTATCTACAGCCTGGATGTCGTCGGCTGGCTTTTGATAACGGTCTGTGTAGGTTGAATTTGTACATCGAGCTCTGATGTTCGTGAGTGGGGTGATTCTGCTTCTCGGTCAGAATCGTAGCCTATGTATCCGAGGCCTATGCGCACGCTATGTAACAAACGATACAGTGAAAATAAACGCGGTTGCGTTCAGATATTCTGGAAACGGGCCTGTCGTTGGAATCATGCGCAGATCTTTTTATTGTAATTTGTTGATTTGAAGTCTCAGCTGCTAATAGGATAGGGTATCAGTTAGCCAGCATTTTTGGTTTACGAGCGCTTTTGGAAGCACCGTGGTCTTCTACCTTCTACTCATCCAGTTGAACTGTAAAAGTAGGAAGATGCACTCGGGCGATGGCTCCGGTCTTTCTCTATTGACCATTTTCCTTGGCTATATCACAATCATATCGCGAATGCATTTAAATATGTATTGCAATGCACGCAAAATCAGGCGCGGATACAAGGGGGGCCATGGGGGCCATGGCCCCCCCCCCCTTGGCCGACTTTTTTCAAAAATAAAATAAAAAGTTAAAAAGTTAAAAAGCTGAAAAGGGGGCCTCCTGAAAATAAAGTGGCCGAAATCCGATGAGTTTTTTTTAACCTACCCACTTAGTTATTTCTTAGAAGACTAGCTGAGAAGACTTCTTTGTTAGAAGATTGGTAAAGCTTTTCATAACTTGGAGGTCTCTTATACTCACAGAGATGACCACTTTTACAGGGCCTCCTAACCTGCACAGAGGGCCTCCAAGCCTGCACAGATGTTGAGATGTTGCCTGAACAGCTAGATAAGCTCAATAGACGCAGTTTTTTTTTTTTTTTTGGTGGGGGGGGGCCCAACAAGTGGGAAGATGGGGCCCCCAACAGGTGGGATTATGGGGGGGGCCTCCTGGTTTCTAATGGCCCCTCCCTTGGAGATTTTCTGGATCCGCCCCTGCGCAAAATACACTCAGCGGATTGGTACATTTGCTGCGAGCCTCTTTACCAATGCCATACGACACGTGGCTTCCCATGCTCACACCGAAACATTTGAAGCACGTGGTTCGAAATTCCAAGGAGTGAAATCAGGAACAAACAAAAAAACTGACTTTGAATGCAACGAATAACGAGCAATGGCACTGTTAGCTTGGTATGTCGAAGCGAAATAGCAGTCTTGTAACATGAGCTGAGGTAATGCGTTTAACTGAAAAGTGTAGTTATGACATCTCGTCCATGGGGCATAATCAAAGAAGCCGTAGCCAAAGACCAATGGCCTTTCGATAGGAGCTACTTTCCCAAACGATTAACGAATGTTTCCCACAAACAGGGTATGCAGATTGCAGATGCCACCGAATCCGTTATCGGGCATCGGCTGGCACCATCTGCATCTGTTTGGTAGATGCCTGGTTATCAGGCCAGCTGAGCCCCAATGAAGGCACGTACAGTCCACAGCAGAAGTAATGTGGGGTTTCAGTCATGGGTATGTTCTGCTTCTGAAGCTTAGGAACGATTAGCCAGACTACAATGAAACTTTGAATGTAGCTTATATGTATCGTCACCCTTGCAACTGCAACTTTAGCTATTGACATCTTCTTTTCAATCACTCCGCATTAAACAATCGCCATTCAAAGCCAACCGTTGAGATTGGTAAAACCCTACATTACTTTAGCGTTGGGCTGTACCTACAAATAGTTGTATTGTAGCGGAAGATTATAGCATAGGTATTTTGATTTTGTCGTTGCCTTTAATTTTATTGGAATAGGATTATAGGCAGTCTGAATAGATAGTGGGAGTGAGAGATTTCCCTTTGAAGCCACCCGTCGCCCTCTATACGTGCAGCGACGTCTATTGCGCGAGACGAGAAACTGAGCTAACGAAGTTTCACTGCAGGTGGCCATGACAATGCAAAACACGATGCGCCTCTCAGACAGAGAAATGCCTGCTCTGCTGAGCTGCCGACATTTGGGCGTGACAGAAAATTACTTAGTCTCATTAAATGGTTCGACCATTCCCAGTTACGATACATTTATTCCCGCATAAAAGCAACTAAGCTTTCTTTCCGCTATGCTCCCTCCATGCAATTCTGCATCCGCCCTTGCAACACAACTTACCACCTGGCGGCAGATGCGCGAACTCAATGGCCGTGAGGAAGCGAGCAGGGGCGGTGGTCGCTGGTGGTTGTGCTGCTTTTTGTCTGATTTTGTCTGCCGATTATTCGAAGATGGTTCAGTGATTGTCAATGTGTAATGCAGTGAACATTTGCCTTTGAACGGAGAACACCTTAAGCAGCATCAAGCATGGATGGTTATTTGAGAATCGAGCAGCACCGGCCACCGAACGCCTTCCTACCGAGTGAAGATGGCGGAAATCCAAGATGGCGGCGGATGAGGTCGCCAGGCGTGGGTCGTGCCGGTCGTGCATCGACTCGGTCACTCGCGAGGTGGGATTACTTTTCGGACGAGATGTAACTGCTGCATTACAGCCTTATTGGTGTTTGGCATTAACTGTGAATATTTCTAGCGCATTTGCCATGCGAACTGCTGAGGCGGTGTGTACGTATACCGACGTCATGTATTAGTTCGGCATGCCCAATGCCCTTTTCTCTGGCTTGTAGGTAGTAGCTGGCATTAAATGTTTAGCATGCTTAAGGCTAGCGCCCACATTGATATGACAACGGTGAAAACTCTTTCATTGGAATAGATTCAGTCAAACATCGTAGTCTTGAAAAGTCACAGTAGTGCCCGACAACGCAGCCAGGCTGGCTCCCTGAATATTCCCTCACTGAGCCCCTTGGGCTTTGGCCCCATTAATGCTTTTCCCCAGCAGTCGGCAATGCCCAAGGACCTGCCAGTGTGCTGCCACGCCTCGGCCAACCGGTCCGCGGAAGCCCCATAGACGCTCTTCACCGCCGTCCGTACGTCGTCCTATGCTTACGGGCTACGGCCGCCACTGCGCGACGCCGTATGCTTGTCGAAACTTGCCTCTCGTATCGGTCGGGACTGCCCCGTTGTCCCGCCCTCACCACTGGCCGCTCGCCGGGGCGACGCGGCGCGGCCCGCGCTGGCGGGGCGGCGCGGCCCGCGCTGCCAGTCGCCCGCCGCATGTGATCTGTTCTGCTGCCCGTCGGAGCGCGCTCCACAAGTCCCAACAACTGCAAGTCCCTTGGAGCGCGCTCGGCGGCAGCAGCATCACAGCGTCAAACAGTGACGGGACGGGACTCGCACCGAAGTCCACTGGACAGCCTGGATGTCTGTCTTGGCACCTCGCTCCTCTGGCACCATCGTCTACCAGAATGGGAGGTCACGATGTGGTGAGTCGACGTCGAAGGAAGTGCGGGAGATGTGCTCGGCTACCCACTTTGGAGCTGAGTTGTGTTGCTGCTCTGTTTGGAAAGGCGCTTCAGCTTCTGAATGCATCGTGTGTGTTGGCCTGCAAAGATAGGTATTAGCGATTTTAAATATGATGTAACAGAATACTGAGCCAAAGTCTACGGTTCACGAAATCCGATCATGTTATGCGCTGCGGCTGCTCGACGTGTTCGTAGCTTGCAGCTGAGACCCATTAGCGTTGCTTATTCATACCGTTACTCGAAATGTGCAACATTTATTGCTTTGTGCAAAATTTTAAACCTTTAAACACTAATGAATGGAGCAAGTTACAAGACTCTATATGATTCGCGAACTTGTTAAAGCGCTGCTAAGTTAACCATGACCCTTGTTTAAGCATTATGTGAGCACTGGTATCGCATACTTAAACCCTAGCAACGAATATGAAACGTCGTACTGTATTGGTACTCACTACTCAGTAGCTATACACCAGAAAGACGCCTTTTTGGCGACAAACGAGAGTGCGGGCGGTTAACCCTGCACGTGAGAAAGTGCGATGCGAGGTGTGCAATTGACTTGTGTTTGCCAATTGCCACCCTTCTGACGAATTATTGACGTAAAACTTGTATTTACTACGTCACGCAAGGTCGACGATCAAATTAATATGAAACATCGGACCTTGCAAGGAGTGCGCGTTATCACGCTTTCATCTGGTTGAGGTGGTTCTAGATCATTCACGAATCCAAAATAACAGTTTCCGTGTTCTCTCATTTACTTCAATTACTTAAAATGACAAAGTCACATGATCGACCTGACCTCAGATGTCCTTTAGGAAAAATCCGAAATACACGGGTTTTAGGTAAGACCTGTGGAAGATATTGGCCAATAGGCAATAGGATTCAAGGTAGGTACGTTTTTCGGCTACTAGTCGTTTATTGTTTTCGTTTCGAATTTTCGACCTTCGCATCGAGGTCGTTGTCAAGAAACATATAACAATGACATATAACATATAACAATGCTTTGTTATATGTTTCTTGACAACGACCTCGATGCGAAGGTCGAAAATTCGAAACGAAAACAATAAACGACTAGTAGCCGAAAAACGTACCTACCTTGAATTAAGATGTCTAGTCGTAAAAGCTTGAAATCATATATAGGCAATAGGATACTTGTGTCGCCATTGGTCATTGACCTGACCTGACCTGTAAAGGCGGTTTATATCACAAGATCTGGCTTGAATCCAAGATCAGGTGTACCAAATTTCAGCTCCATATCGCCAGCGTGTTCAGAGCTACCGCAAAAAAACTGTATGGGGGCGGTACCCCCCCCCCCCCGCGCCTGCAGCCCGCGAGGGTTAACCCGCGCCCCACTGGGGGGGGGGGGGGGCTATTTATAGCCCCCCTCCCGTTTTTCTGCAATAACTTCCAAACCGCTTGACGGATCGACGCCAAACTTTCAGTACCTTCGGCTGCATCAATTTGACACCTTGTGTCAAAATTTGAACTTCGTAGCTACCATAGGTCGGCCGGAAATGACGTCAGAGTGACGTCATGTTCGTCCGATTTCGACGCAAAACATTGAACCACGGCAATCACTCCCAAGAGCTCAGTTTTTAAGCTAGATCCAATTTCTTTGCATGAAAGAACTCAGAATTGACCGCGCTATCAAACTGCTATCTCGGATTTTCAAAATTTTGAAAATTTAGAAAATTTTATATAATAATATTCAAAATTTATATTTTTATATTTTTTTCAAAAAGTTTTTGACTTTTCGAAAAAACGGAATATATGTGACAGAACGCATGATTATGACTAACTCTAGCAAGTTTTAGCTAAATATCTTCAAAAATGGCCAAGTTATACGCATTATTGCAAAAAATTCACAATTATTAATTTTTCAAATCAATTTTTCAGTACGTATTTGGCATCGTACACCAATATAAATGGCACCATCGTGTTCCTGAGCTCAAACTGCATCCAATAGACACCTTTTTTGTTGAAAAATTTCAACTTCAAAATTTGACCTTTTTTGACCTGAAAGTGACCTGACCTAAGCTAAATTCGACTCAAAATGACCTCGAATGACAAAGACGACATCAAATTCGAAATCTATGGCCTAAATGGACCATAAAACATGTGTCACGTGACCGACGCATGATATAATATTCTCGTGACCTGTGATGACCTGACCCTGACCTGAAAATCAAAGTACAAGCTTGGTACCCGCAATGTATCTAGAGCATCTGTTCACGAGTGTTGAAACCAAAAATGAGCCTGATCTGACTTGTAAGACGGCGGCCAGAGCCCAAAATGTGAACAAGCCAAAGTGCTAATAATTTTTACTTTGACCTGACCTGTGACGTCATCGGTGACCTCGAGGTCAATGAAATTAGGTTTCGCTCGACAGTTTTTCCGGGGCTATCAGACGCCGTTTGAATTTTGACGATCGGCCCAGTAGTTTCGGAGTTAGGAGGGGGGGCTATGAATAGCCCCCCCCCCCCCCCCAGTAGGGCGTGTTATACACAGACCCCAGTGGGGCGCGGGTTAAGGATAGATCGGCAGTGTTAAGTTTGTCAATGCGCATCGAATGATGTGCTTTATTATTAGGTTATAACCCGCGCCCCTTAGGGCTATCGGCGGACCCTACCACCCGTAGGGGGGGGGGGGCGTTTCGCCCCCCCCCCTCCCTAAGATCTCCGAAAGTTACCGGCCGATTTTCAAAATTCAAACGGGGTTGGATAGCCCTACCTACCACGGAATTACCTTCTGAACCATTTTCACCGTTGGCAGGCATTTCAAGAAATGTGTTGTGAAATCAAGTTAAGTGGTATGTTATTGAAAATCATCGATGAAGAAATTCTTCGTCAAACACATATTTTGCTATCCGAGGTCACTGACACCAGGCCAGGTCACAGAGGTCACGTCACTGGGGGGTCACAGTATGAAAGTATCATGTGATACATGTTTTATGGTCCATTTTACATGACAAATTTGCGATTATGTGGGTCAGGCAGCCTTTGGGGCCAGTTTAGGCTATGTTCTGGTGAAGGTCAGGTCAAATTAGGTCAAATTTCAAAGTTGATATTTTTGCATAAAATGGGTATCAAATCGCTGCAACTCATCACGGGGAGTCTAATGGTGGTCTTCTTTTGCACTACGTGCTCTAGAATTGCTCAAAGTTGAGTTTGAAAATATGACGTCATTTTTTAACACTATTTTCGCTATAACTTGGCCAAAAAAAGAGTTATCGATCGGAAAGTTGGTATGTGGATAGAAGTCAGTAGGGACTATCACATATATTCCGATTTTTTTTTTTTGTTCGAAAAACTTTTGGGATTTTTTGACTATTATTTAAAAAAAATTGGGGGGTCAAAATCAACAAATTTAAAAAAAATCCGAGATAGCAGTTAGGTAGGGTAGCCCTGGTAATTCTACACCTTTTATGCCCCAAACATATTTCTGTATCTTTAAAGCTGTAGGCCTGACAACTCTTCCCGTGAAACCTTTTTTGGGTCGAAAATGGCAGAACATGATGTCATTCTGACGTCATTTACGGCCAACCTATCATAGCCTCTGTAATAATTTTTGGTCTTCATGTGTTAAATTGATGCCCGGAGGGGTCCTGAAAGTTTGGTGGCGATATCTGCAGTCGTTTAGGAGATATAGATGGAAGGGGGGCCCGGGTTAAGTGGTGTTCGGAACTAAATTCGTGTTAACTTCAACAATTATGAAATTCTGAAGTTTATTATGTTCCTGATGTTGCGGATCAATCGACTCGTCTGATCACAAACAACATAATAGGTCCCTTTTTGAAGCCCTACGTTTATGGCATGTGTCAATTAAGACAAAGCATTGTTTTACCTCAGTTGACCCTAGTTGACCCAGCGCTGTCACCAAGCAAATACAAACTTAGCCACCTTCTAGCATTAACTGAGGAAGTACAAGAAAAGATGAAATAGAGCGGATATTTCCAAGATGGATAGCAATCAGAGCTTTTTGAAAATGGTTCCATATGTTCAAGATAAGTTACGGGGTCATGTCTTACCTACTTACCGATTTTGAAATGGCCGGGACCTGGGTAGTGGGTACCAATGCTATAAAGTTATGCGAACCAACTGCACGTCCTGCAAGTTTGAATAAATTCGGTGCGAAACCCACAAATGGTGACAGAGCCGCGATTGTGGGACCATCTTACGTACTCGTGGCCAGGCGCGTTGAATACTTTTTGTTTGAGTTAGGTCACAAACTCACAAGGATGTTGATTGTTGACTTCAGAGGTCAAGGTCAGGTCAAAGCTGCTTGGAGGATAGCATGCTGCATATCATTCGAATTTCGATGTGAGTCCTTTCCGAGTCAACTGATGGCTCAACCGACTCGCTGCAGCTGGCTTAATTTGATCGGGAGTTTTTAGCAAAAAAAAAAACTCCGCAATTTAAGCTCCGCAATTTAAGCTTCAGCGTTGCAAAATCATTATAAATCACGATTATATGTGCTTGAGATAGGATTGTGCATTTTTTCACATAGGTACACCTACAAAATAAAACATGCCTGTGACCACGTGTGTACCTATCACTATATGAGAATAATAGGTAGGTACCTGACGCGAAAGATATCCGAAATCATGGCTTGTTCATGAACGTTCACGAACTGTCCGTAACTGTTCGTGAGCAGAGAATTGTTTGTGAACATGTGACATTGAATGAAGGAATTCATAAACATCGAATAAGCAAACAAACAAACGTTGTTTACGAATTGTTTATGAAGACAACGTATGCAAACACCAAACCCTGCCTATATGCTATCTTCTGTCACGTGCAATTAACGGTGGAATAAGAACCGGCCAATGCTGACGTATTCATTTTTGCAACGTAGACTCGGTTACGAATCTTGGACTCGGGCAAGTTCTTGAACTAATAGGTATCACGCAGGCGCAGCCCACACCCATCGGGCTCATGCACTATCGCTCGATTGTGATATAGCTGTCGCAACGTGTCACACATTTCGTGTGCGTGTGCCGTAGAAATAGTTGTATTGCAACATCTCAAATTTAATTTTTTAAAGTGCTTTCCTCGTAGGAAGTGTAGAACAATGTTCATACAACCAGATCGTCATATCGTAAATGAGTTTGGAAAGGTATTTATAAAAAGTACTGAATGAAATCCTTACAAAAATCCCTACTTAGTATTACTCATTATAAAATACTTCAATTGCTATAATTATGGTCTGGTATATCATATATTGCAATGCAACAATGCACTTCATTCCACCTCGATGCAGCGGCCTGCCATTGGTCGTTGAAAGCAAATACGTCACACTCACAGGTCATGATCATAGGCGGCGGAACGGGGGGGGGGGGGCACCGGGGCACCGTGCCCCCTTTAATTTTGGCATCTTAGCATTAGCAATTTAGCCCCATGGGCGTTGCATGGAAAAAATGGGACCAAGAGTCGACAGTGGGACCAAAATGGGACCAAAAGTCGACCTTAATTGAAGGTGTTCCGCCACCACTGGTCATGAGGCGTCGCTTCAGGCCCAAAACACGAATAGACGTGCATACAGTTGCTCAACCTCTCTTTTGTATGGCTTGTTGCGACTGGTGCCAGAATTGATTCACGCACTCAGCCATAAGAGAGAGACATCCCCGACCGGTAGGGACAGTCGCACTTCGGGAGCCGTCGGGTCAGGCTCGGCTGGTATCCGACCTGCTTCTGGTGCCCGGTGGGTGCTTTCGAATACTTGCTTTTATGCCCTGTGCTTTGAGAACATGTAGCTGATGACATAGCATTGATAGCAATGATGTTTCATCGATTACCATTTGCCGACTAGTGTTGATGCTTTTTGCTGTAGGTACCAGGATGTATGTTATTTAGGTACCTAGTCCTACTGTCTTTAACTAGTAGTCTATTATCTATATGCATGTTCATTGCTCGGCGAGGCTCGAGTTCAAAAAGTGCCGGATCAGATTTTCACACCAATATGGACCGTTTGTGAATGTCATTCATCCTCTATTGATTGCTGCTCTGTTTAAGGGCATTTCAGATCTTCACCTTCTGACCTTCGCATTGCTGTCTACCCGCGCCCTGCTGGGGGGGGGGGGTGTTTGAACACCCCCCTTGTGGTTTTTCGCGAATATCTCAAAAACGGCGGCCGCGCCGCCGTTTTTGGTACACCTTATCATACATCAATTCTACACATGTTGTGAAAATTTCACACCAAGGTCATTCAAGGTCAGGTCACCAGGTCACTTGAAGTGACCTCACCTCATAAAAGTTTCAATGTCTGTCATAGCTACACCGAGTGACCGATCGCTTTGAAACTTTCAGCGATTGCTAAGAGCAATAGCATGTACAAAATGTTTATCTCAGAATTTTGATATCGATGACCTAAGGTCAGGCCAATTTTGCGACCTCCCCATTATAAGTCAATGGGAGAAAATTGAAATGCGCCTCTTTTGGACGAAAGACATTATAAACACTTCCAAACACCGAATTACAAGTGGTTTAGACACACTGAACATGAAAATGGTGTCCGTGACCCTTGTTTATGCCCTGAGGTCATCTTAGGTCACGAATGGTATCTAACAGTATTTCGCAAATAACTTTTGATAGAGGCATGCTAGAGCGATGAAAACGCCTTAGATGTGTTCAGCTAGACGATACGGATCGACTGATATGCAACATGACCCTTTCCGGTCAGGTCATGACCTTGACCTGAGGTCAAATTTTCAAGTTGACTTTTCAAGGTCAAGTTATAGTTCATTCGATGCGTCTTGACGAGAGGAACACGATGCTGGTAAAAGTAAGCTCGTACAAGGCTTGGGTCAAAAGTTATTGCAGAAAAACTGTTTCCGGAAAAAATCGGCTATTTTTGCAGTTTTTGCCCCCTGCAGGCAAAACCGTTGACGGTAGGTCAAATCTGAGAGAATTACTCAGAAAGGGCGTTAATAGGGCTATCGAATGCGCTTTTCCGCGGCGCTGTAGCTCTAATTGGTTCCCGAGTTATGCGTTGGCATCTTGTAAACTGTCGAGTGTCGATATTCGACCTGAAAGTCGGCGAAATTTGGCCATCACCATGACCTGACCTTTGACCTGACCAAAAAAGTGGCCGAAGTAATTTCATTATTTTTGACGCTCTTTCGAACGAAGATGGATTATGGGGTGCAAGCAGATATGTTTGCCAATGCACGCCTATGTTTTTGGATGGAAATTGAGGATGCAGCTGAGTGCACACCGTGCACTCCCTCTTCCGCCGGCGCGGGGCGCCGCCCCTGATTTCTTGCCACAAACGTCTTCAACCGCTCCCGAATGAAAGAATATGCGTTAATGTTGATATTTTCTCATTTTGTGGAGGTTGGGCAAAGCCTGACCACTACTGGGGCATTCCTCGACTCTACTGGGGCATTTGCGTTAGCCGAGGCCCTGGGGCTGGTTGGGCAGGATCATAGATATACCTACTTACTGTCTGTACTCTGTATATCTATGGGCAGGATGACCGATGGTCCAGTGACGTCATAGCGTTACAGAGAACTGCGGAGTTGAAAATTCCCGGCTTATATGTGTTGCCTTGGATCAACCTTGGATCAAAAAGATTTTTGTCCTCCATTTTTGTGTAGCGTGCCTGGTTGCGCGTTGTGGCGTGTTTTGACAGGCATGCTCATGCTGGGACGGTAATTTGTGATGTGCGTTTCATTTTGCTCTTTGATCAAATTTCTAGCAGAAGAACCACTTTATTGATAAACGCATATACCGTTTCTGCGAGGATGAAAATTTCTGCTTTGGGTTTTCAGTCCAAGTCTGTCTGTGTTCTGTATGTATTCTGATTCACATTTCACCCTTCTTTCAAGGTCTTTTTCACAAATCATTTTGTTATTACCTACCAAGTACCTATCTCACATTTTATGCTCCTTGTTGCTGCTGTCTAAATCAATTGATGGCCAGTTTTCTCTGTCTTTCAGTAATATGCTACATGCCAATATTGAAATGGTTGTTTTATTACTTACTCTGTCAATTTTCATTCTGGCTTACTGTTCTCTAATTAAAACAGCATTACGCTAGCATCATCCTTTGAACAATTAGGATCATACCGTTTAGGCCTGCTTTTCTGTGGAATTAACAATTACTCTTGTCTTGTTTCAGGCAGTGAAATGGAAGCAGCACCAAGCTGTCGTAAGTACCCACCTGCATTATTGTTATTTGCTGGCTGTAGTGCTGACTAATACATATAGTGGCACCAAGGTTCAACTTAATCAAGGCCTTGTTTTCCTACCAATATTGCTTCTATTAACTGTAGGTTGTAGTCTGCAGGTTATAGGTAAGGCTAGGTTAGGTTAGATATGATATTTTATTTTAATATGATATTTTATTTTTTACTCGCTTTTATTTTTGTTGACTAGGTATTTCGTATATATCCATGCAATTTTGTATGCTGCCATATTCTAGCGCCCAAATAAACTTAACCTGGCAGGCAGTGGGCCTCATGGCCACCTTCCGCGCGGTGGGGGAGGGGGGCATTCCCCCCCGTATCTCGGAAACTACTGGACGGATTCATAAAATTCAAGCGGCGTTCTATAGCCCTGTCAAATTTGTTGAGGGAAACCAAATTCCATTGACCTCGAGGTCACCGATGACGTCACATGTCAGGTCAAAGATAAAATGTTTCACTGTTCACGGGTCTTCTAGGGAATGCGCTATAGCATCGAGTAAAACACATTTTGTCGAAAATCAGTGATAGGGCGTCAGTTGCCTAGTACATGTGCTGCTATTAGAGGTCACTGATAATGCCAGGTCAGGTCACAGGTCAGGTCACCAAGGGTCAGCACATGCACCCAACTTCACTAGGATTGTGCAATGCATGTTATATGACCAATTTTTTCATTTCCAACTGAATGGTGTTGGTTATAAGACCATCAGGTACGGTTTATGTCACTTTCTGGTGGAGGTCAGGTCAAGGTCAGGTCAAAAAGGTCAAATTTCAAAGTTGATAGTTTTGCAAAAAGTGGTTATTGGTTCGATCATTGATGCAGCTCGTCACGGGGAGTCTAATGGTGGTCTTTGTTTTGCGCTATGTGGTCTAGAATTGCTAAAAATTGAGTTTTGAGAATTTGACGTCATCAATTTTGAACATTTTTTCTGCTATAACCTGGCCAAAAAAGAGGCATCGATCTCAAATTTGGTATGTGGATAGAAGGTGGTAGGGACTATCACACATATTCAGTTTTTTTTTCTAAATTCAAAAACCTTTTTGGATTTTTTGGCTATTATATTCAATTTTTTGGTCGAAATCCAAAAACTTCAAAATTTTTAGATAGCAGTTTTGTAGCCCTGTTAATTTTACACCTTTTATGTCTTAAACATTTTCCTGTAGTGTAAAAGCTATTCACGGGAGGGTACTGAAAGTTTGGTGACGATCGGCGCAGCGGTTCTGGAGATATATCGAAAAAAAAATTAAGGGGGCAAAAAATGCCCCCCCCCCCCACCGCCTGGAAGGTCAACTCTGAACCTTGGTGCCAATGGAGAAGGTGTAAGCCAGTGCTACCAGATCCCATTGTTTTATGAGTTAATGACCACTGATTTTAACAGCAATGTAAGTTATGAGAAGAACTTTTGATGAATTGGGGACTTGCATTAGAAAGCCAAACTGTTTTTTATATTGCTCGCTTAAGTATTTTCAAGCAGTTTTTTTCCCAAATTCCCTGCAACCTTACTCAGGCATAAGAGTTCACAGCTAATTAATTCCATTGGTATGTATTGTTGATTTCTATTTTGAAGCACAAGCAAAGTGAGAGGTACACTCGAGGGCAGATTGATGTTCCACAACTCTTTATCCACCGGGTCCCTATGGCTCAGCATTGGCGGCAGCCGCCTGGTACCGGTAGACTGTGCCGCTTCACTTACTTGTCAAGCGGCACAGCCTACCCACACCGTGTGACACCGGTCTGGGTCGGTGGCTGGAAGGCGATGTGGGCCGCCTGTGATGTCAGCGCAGCGGTGAGGGCCGAGCCCGGAGGCATGGCTCGGGTCGGCGCGGCGCGGCGGCTGGCGAGGGCTGGGGAGTGAGGCGGGGTGGAAGCATGGACCATCGCGCGGCTGGGCGAGCGTGGTTAACTTTCGCGTCTCCCAATTATTCTACCTATCAATTGCGCTAAAGCATTTGTTAAAATGCCCTATGCCCAAGACAGCGCCTATCATTTACCTACTTGCTATGCGTATTACGAAGCACTTAAGCGTGGCAATGGGACAGCCGATAGAACTTATGTCACACGTGCATCGAGGTGCGGAGCTATATTTTGTATGACATATTAGTATTAAGGCCTTGATTGAGCAGATTGGTGTCTATTGTTTCGCACGGCAATCGTCTAGAGACGTGGGAACTGGGGTTATGGGTATAGTGCGGCAGCCAACGCCCCAATTTAAAGCGATTATTACTGTTGCTTTAAAGGTAGTGTGCCAGCTTTCCTGGACCGTATGGAGTTAATGGCCCAGATAAGGAGAACCGGATTTTTAGAACTTATCCATTCCTTCAAAACTCATGGAAACGTCTTAAATTCTTCAAATTTTGAGTACCCCAGTGCGAAATTCGCCCCGACGGGTTGTCGGTCGTACCCCAACCACATTTCACACCACTATGAACAATAAATGCACACACTGAAATCGCTATTACCGATATGCTCATCCAATCAAGTTTCGATAAACCCGTTCATCATCATCTCCTGCGGTTTCGAACACGCCTGTTAGGTGGTGCGGTAGACCGCGCCCAAAGCCAGGGCCCCGGTAACGTGAGGTAGCCGAGTCGGGGCAGCGTGCGCTGACCCAAGCCGGGGCCGCGCGTCCTCCCGGTGTCATGTGATAGCCCGGGGCTGCCCGCGGGGATGCGGTAGACCGCGCACAAAGCTGCGGCCCCGGCTTGGGTCAGCGCACGGTGCCCCGACTCGGCTACCTCACGTTACCGGGGCCCTGGCTTTGGGCGCGGCTTCTGCTCATACTTTGTGGTGCGGTGGTGGTGCGTCGGGCCGCGCGCTCTGACTTCGGCCAAGAAAAATGCGTCAGCTGATCATTGTCATTTCTGCCACTTGCGTGTGGTGAAATGGGGTCATAACTTAAGAGACAGCTTTTTCATATCAATTATTTTAAATAAAATCATATTTCAAACCATAAATAATGTTCGACAGCCAAATAAAAGAAACAATAACAATACAGGCTTACAGTTGAAGGCTTGACATTGTGTTGTCTACGATTAGACAGCTGATAACTCATTCCCGTACATCGTAACTCTATAATGACCTTTGCTTATTGTCACATGTGCGCCGCATTCGCGATTGTTGCCGACGCCTATTTGCAGATCAGCCCACTACAGTTGTTATACATATCGAAAAACCGATAAACTTTTAGGCGAAAAAGGCACTATTCCAGGCCCATTTTTAATTTTCTTTGCGATATTAGGTAAAAACAGAAGCTTCTTATCCTAGGAAAAATAAAATGGGAAATCTTTCAAAGGTGGCACACTACCTTTAATACATATGTGGTCGCGGCCGCCAATAGCAAACCGTTCCAACTAGGAGCCAAAACTTCGCGCACTCAGGAGGGTTGGAACCGGGCTTGCCCCACCGGTCAGCTTACGACAAGAGCGTTCGTCCACTGAGCTACCGAGAATGGTCCCCGGCAGCACAAAACAAAATGACATTCACCAGCTGACTGACAATGACAGTTTTGTGACATTTCATCGCGTTTGACCGCGGCGCGTGGTCACTGGTCTCGGTAGCTCAGTGGATACACGCTAGCGTCGTAGGGTGACCGGTTAGAGAAGCCCGGTTCGAACCGTCCCAGGTGCGAGACTTATTTACTCCTAGTTGGAACGCACAGTGATGCAAATGGGGTTCACGAGTGGCCATAAATACCCAAAAGTCAAGTTTACCAAATCGAGTTAATTGCGATATGGCCGAGTAGACAAATGTTTGGGGCATCTGAAATCACATGGTTTTCATGTTTTTGTCAAAACCGGCCTCGTGTATCATCGTCAGAAGTCGTGACATTTTCTAGGTCGTAAAATGACGGTCAGACACTCGCAAGTTCAAACGCCGCTGGTTTGCGTTCATTTCGTACAAATTGAAAAAATTATGCATGAGAATGATCCCCAAAGCCTTCTGCTTCTAATGCCGGGTCACAAAAAGCCGTATCTCATTCGCTTTGGCGGTAATCTGACTATTTATCATCGTGTTGCAATCGCAGTTTTTTACTAAGAAAAAAATGCTTTCGTTTCACCTACAGCACTTAACACAGTGCGTGCCCGTTAGTCCACCATACCATAGCCTTCCCTAATCATTTCTGAGTCGCATCGTGAAAGAATTAAGGCGCTATCACAGGGCTGACCGGCGCTACAGAGGTTTTTGTCCGGGCGGTCGGGTGCCGCAGTGGGCGCGCAGTGGGCGGGTAAGTGCCGCCGCGCGGCGTCCGGGCGGCGCGGCGGCGCGGCCGCCCGGGCCGCCCGCTGCGCCGCGGCACCCGACCGTGCCGGACGAAAACTTCTGTAGCGCCGGTCAGCCCTGTGCTAGCGCCTTAATTCTTTCACGATGCGACTCAAAAATGATTAGGGAATGCTATGATATGGTGCACTAACGGGCACACACTGTGTGAAGTGCTGTAGGTGAATAAAAAGCAATTATTTTTGGTAAAAAACTGCGGTTGCAACATGATAACAAATAGTTAGCTCACCGCCAAACCAAAATAGATACGGCTTTTCATGACGTGGCATTAGAAGCAGCAGGTTTCGGGGATCATTTTCATGTATAATTTTTGCAGCTTGTATGACATGAACGCACGCTAGCGGCGTTTAACCCGCGCCGTGCTGGTGGCCTGAACTTTCCGCCGAGTGCTGGGGGGGGGGGGGGGCGTTTTCACGCCCCCCCGTCTAACTCGGCTCCTGGGCCACGTAGCGACACGCGGTAAGCGGCAATCGAAAGAGCGTCAAAAATAAGGATGAAAACACTTCGGTCATTTTTTGGGTCAGGTCAAAGGTCAGGTCACCAGAGGTCACCAAAGGTAAAATGTTGACTATTTCAACATTTTGGAAACTGCCAACGGCTATCTCGGGAACCGATAGAGCTACAGCGCCGCGGAAAAGCGCATTCGATAGCCCTTTTACAGACCTTTCTGAGCAATGTTCTCAGATTTGACCTCAGGTCAACGGTTTAGCCTCCAGAGGGCAAAAACTCCAAAAATAGCCGTTTTTACGAAAAACGTTTTTTCGTCAATAACTTTTGACTCATAAGCGCCATGACATTACTTTTGCCAGCATCGTGTTCCTCTCGTCGAGACGCGTCGAATGAACTATTCGTTGACCTTGAAAGGTCATTTTGAAAATTTGACCTCAGGTCAAGGTCATGACCTGACCGAAAAGGGTCATGTTGCATATCAGTCGATCCGTATCGTCGAGCTGAACACATCTGACGTGTTTTCACCGCTCTAGCACGTCTCTATCAAAAGTTATAGCCAAAAAACTGCTGGCGACCGTTCATGACCTGAGATGACCTCAGGGGCACACAGAGGGATCACAGATGCATTTTTCCTATTCAGTGTGTCATGTTTACCTATGAACCGATGTTTGAGAGCGTTTTGAACGATATTCGTCCAAAAGAGGCGCATTTCAATTTTCTCCCATTGACTTATAATGGAGAGGTCGCAAAATTGACCTGACCTTAGGTCACAGATATCAAAAATCCGAGATATACATTTTATACATACGGTTACTCATATCAATCGCTGAAAGTTTCAAAGTGATCGTTCAGTCGGTGTAGCTATAGCGAGCCTTTGAACTTTTTCTGAGGTAAGGTCACTTGACGTGACCTGGTGACCTGTCCTTGAACGTCATAGGTCTGAAATTTTCACAACATGTGCGGAAATGATGTAGGAACACGTGTACCAAAAACGGCGGCGCTGCGCGCCGCCGTTTTTGAGATATTCGCGAAAAACCTGAGGGGGGGCGTAAAAACGCCCCCCCCCAGCACGGCGCGGGTTAAAGTTGCGAGTATCTGACAGTCATTTTACGACATCGAAAATGTCTCGACTTCTGACAATCATACACGAGGCCGGTTTTGACAAAAACATTAAAATCATACTTTTTCAGACACTCCAAACATTTGCCTGACTGACCATATTACGATTTATTCGATTAAGTGAACTTGAATTTTGGGCCTTTTTCGTATTTATGGCCACTCGTGAACCCCATTTGCATCACTGTGGAACGGTTTGCTATTGGTGGCTGCGATCACACATTAGAGGAACAATAAGCTTTTCCTAAAGTTGGGGCGTTGGCTGCCGCGCTATCCAAAAACTGCAGTTCCCACGTCTCTGGACGATTGCTGTGCAAAATAATAGACACTAATGAGCTCAATCAAGGCCTTAATACTTATCTGTTATAAGCAATGCAGCTCCGCAACTCGATGCACGTATGATATAAATTCTATCTGCTGTCCCAATGCTACGTTAAAGTGTGTCGTAATGCGCATGGCAAGTATGATGATAGGCGCTGTCTTGGGCATAGGATATTTTAACAACTGCTTTAGCGCAATTGTTAGGTAGAATAATTGGCGCCTTGAGACGCGAAAGTTAACTACACTCGCTCAGCCGCGCGATGGTCCATGCTCCCACTCCACCTCACTTCCCAGCCCTCGCCAGCCGCCGCGCCGCGCCGACCCGAGCCATGCCTCCGGGCTCGGCCCTCACCGCTGCGCTGACATCACAGGCGGCCCACATCGCCTTCCAGCCACCGACCCAGACCGGTGTCATACGGTGTGGGTAGGCTGTGCCGCTTGACAAGTAAGTGGAGCGGCACAGTCTACCGGTACCAGGCGGCTGCTGCCAATGCTGAGCCATAGGAACCCGGTGAATAAAGAGTTGTAGAACATCAATCTGCCCCCGAGTGTACCTACACACTACAGATACAAATTTGCTATCCATAGGACGTATGGCACATGTTTAACATCTTCAATATTGATTAATCAACAATTGACCCTGTTGTTTCACAGAAAGACGATATACACTAAATTTTTCGTTTTTTGAAGTGCTGCAGTCGGTTGGCGCCAAAAAAGACGAGTCATATGAATGGAAGGACGTGAGTAATCTCTTCTGGTTCCTTTAGCAGCATGCTATTTATTTGAGTGAATTCAATTGTTCTGGTCTACTCAATGATCTTCTGTTCACTTTGACAGCTATGGTAACTCATAAAAATGCAATAGCAGATGCACTGTCTAATTATGCACTTTCCTCAACTGTTGTCAATTGAACTACTCAGTAAATTTTAGTTGTCACTTGTCAGGTCTGAAGTTTAATGTATTATCAGCTTTTTTTCCAAAGTTTCAGAGTTGTTTAGCTGTTTTCTCTTGCTGACCCCTGCACCCATTTTGTCAGGTAATTATGCTGTTTCTTCGATACTTGGCGAGGAGGAAGCCAAGTCTTTTCGACCCGATGAATAAGAGTCGGGTGGTGTGCCAGGATGACCCGCTCGGCAGGGTCTTCGGGGTGGCCTCGTTCACGAAGGACGAGACACGGTATGTGGACGCGCCGGCGCGCGTGCGGGCACGTTCGTGGCGGTAGCACTGTGGCGCACCGGTCCGGCGCCGGTTCGGGCCTCCGGTCACGCCCGCGGCTTGGGTCCTGGTCCAGGAAGGTCGTCGTCTTGGTCTTTGTCCCGGTCTTTTTGGTTTAATTCTGGTGTTAGTTAAGTATTGTTGGTTCGCTGAAGACCAGAATATTGACATTCAATAATCAACATGGACTCTAGTCACTCATGTATTCTTTGACATAGGTATTGAAAGAAAACTTAAATTTTGATTATCATGTTTGTGCCCTTTTCAGTTGATTTATATTGGTTGATTAAATTTCAGTGGTTCTTTAAGATCAAATTCTACCAAAGATGTTATATATTTGGCAATTGTTAGCCATCCATCCCATCCTGTTGCCCTCATGCAAGGCGGGCAACGGGATGTCAGCGGGTAAGCCAGGCGACAACCATTCATTGAAGTCGCATATTCATGTGACAAGTTCTACAAAATGCCATCAAAGTCACCAGACAAGTCTAAATTACTTGATGACGCCAGGACATTGTTTCTGTTGACATGGAATCAGCGCTTTATATGTATCGCATCCATCATTTGGCTCCGCTTCGTGTTCTGGCCCCGGTATCATTATTGCAACACCAAGTGGAACCCAGCCTGGACCTGGACCCAAGCTGAGCTGGCCTGGGCCCGGAGCCGGCGGGCCGGACCGGCGGCTGTCCCATGTCGATCCGGATAGGACCGATTTCCACGATCCGTGAGGGTCGGTCCCGACGGTCGGCGCTGGCGCTGGCGACGGGGACACGGAATTCGTGATCCGTCGATCGGAGGCGGCTCGGCTGTCGCTCGGTCCCGCCGAACGTGCGTCCGCCGGCGGACGTCCCGACCAGCCGGAGCTCTCCACCAGCCAGCCAGCCAGCCCGCCGAGCGACCGACCACTCTGCCGACCGACCGGCCGGCCGGCCCTCACACTATTCTGACCAGCACCGCCCACAGGCCCCTGTGCCCCTTCATTGCGTTTGCGATTGATGTTCTTTGCTGTGAGTGGCTTAGTTTTAATGTTAATTTTCCTTATTTCGCTCAGTCTTATAGTCTAGTTTATTATTACTTATGTTCTGTTTTGAGCACTTTTGGCCGTCCATATAACGCCCGCAGTCTTACTTATCTTCCTTTCAGTCGAATGCATTCAGCCATTTAATCTTCATTTTCATCTGTCTCAGTTGATTCAAATTCAAATTGCACCATTTAAACTCTAATAACCCCTTGCAGTACTCACAATCACCAATTTCCCATTTTCCTTTCCATAGCTGACGATGTTGACGATTTCACTGACTTGAAAGAGGCGGTCGGATGGTGGCCGCATCTCGAGACCTGGCGGGCCCACGGGACCCCTGACCACGGACCATGGGCTGGCCGGAGTCGGGGTTCTGGGGCCCGCCGGTCGAGGGGCCCTCCAGTCCCACCCGGGACCTGCGGCACAGCTCAGTGAAATGGGCTGAACTGAGGCGGCTGATGGTCACTTTCATACATTCGTTTATTAATTCAGTTATTGAATAATGTTTGTCATAGCATTATTTACTCTTCAAATAAGTCATTCATAAATATTTGAAATATATATATTTGTGACTAGTAAGAGACGAACACAATTTTTTTTCCAATAATTATTTGAATATACATATTTTTGTCTAAATATTGCAATTTGATTTGCGAGTTTTAGCCGTCCCGCCATCATGCCGTTTCATTTCATCTCATTTGACGGATGCTGACCGATAAGCAGTGGTGCGGCCTCGGACCCCGACCAAGTTACACCAATAACACGTGGCACCAATGGGCACCAAAGCACCACCACCAGCCCGTCACCTTCGAGCGGGTCCGAGGGAGGCGCCCGTGCCGGGCTCGGCCGGCCTGGGCTCTAACTGTCGGATTGGCACCATGACCCAGGTGACAGCTCGAGTGACCGTGTCAAATCGCTCGTCATCAGTTGATCCGAAAACCTGTCGTACTGATAGACTGAGGATTCAGAAGTCAAAATTAGCAGATCAAAATTGCAAAAAAAAAAAATCAACCAAAAATAAATGTGCATTTCTGGCGAAACTAGTGCCGCTTCTGTCATGTTCTGGAAATTTATGTACTGTGCATGGTAATGCCTACCGTTGAGCCCGTCACGACTTCCTGCTATTCCATCCCATTTCAAGGCTGGTTGCTCCGTTTTGTCATTGATTCCTACTAATTGCGATTTGCAACTTCCTGTAACATGGTGCTTGTGGCTAATATTGGCTTACGGTTTGTACTAGATTAACCAAACGGTCGCTGAAACAACACTGGCAAGCATTCCCGGCCAAGACCTGGGCCAAAACCTTTTTTGCCCATCGAAACTGCTTCTCTAATCCATGCATTATTTTAGCCAATTTCAGTTCACGAATTCTGCCGTTTTAACAGTTCTGGATGCTATTGCTGAGTGCTCTAACGGAAGACTTCGCATGTATGCCTAATTTTCATGGCACAGTTTTTTCTACTTGTTTGCCTAGCAATTACAGTGGCTGTGCCTATGTATCGTTTTCCCGCAAACGATCCTCTATTTTCGGAAGCATCCTGCCCACTCGCACAATACCGCTTGCAAAATTGTGCCGTTTCCTTTCAAGTTGTCTTTGTCTTACTTTAGCTGTCTTACTTTAACTCAGTCTCTGAATTACTTAGTTGGGGAAACTGGAGGAAACCACGCTTTGTGTTTTACCACATTCTGAACGCTGGATACCTTGAAACGTGCTAGTTGCACGTCCTTCTGTGTCCAGATGTACTATCGATCTAACATCTCAATCTGCTTTCCATATAGCCTCGTTGCTGGTGCGCCCTAAAACACCTCAATCTGCTTTTGAGCTCGTTACCTAACGAGCAAGACCACTAAGGTGTTGAAATGAGTGCCGGTGTTTGTGATATCATCAATGGTGCTTATTGTCTTGTTCACACACTCTTGTGGTATTTTTAGAACGCACCTTAATCTTCCCGGCTCCGTAACTAACTCGGGACTCGGTAAACCTCCCTGACGCATGCATGCCACGCCCCCCGAGCTACCAGAGTGCCCAGAATGCTGTTACGCGCGATCCGGCTGCGGTGGTGGACTGAGGTGCCCTCTGACGGTCGGTGGCGGACGGTGGCGCCTCCTCTGACAGTGCACGCCGTCTGATTTCAGGCTGCTGGTGCGGCAGCAGCTGTGCCTGGTGGAGGACGAGGCCCTGATGGCCAGCCTGCCGCCGCTGCCGCCGCCGGGCCTGGAGCCGGGCGAGCAGGTGAAACGCGGCCCGACAGACCCCGACGCCGACGACCCGGACAGCAAACGGAGTCGGTCCGAGGCGGGCGCGGCGGCGTCCGCTCCGGCTCCGGCTCCGGCGGCGGGCGCGGGCCCGTCGTCAGGACCGGGCCCGTCGGTCACCGCCGACCTCCAGCGGATGGACACGCTAGGTGAGCCAGACACGGAGCGTGCCGCCGCGTGGCAGAGACGCACCACGAGAGCTGCCGCGACGGGGCGGCGGCGACAGTGTAGTGAGCGGGAGGCGGGGTGACCCAGCGGACACTGACGCCGCCGCTGGTGGGTGGTGTAAGGGAATTGTGACCCGTCACAGTAGCAACATTCAATATAGACAGTAACACCATGGGAACTTGCACCGCCGACAGTGAACACTGCTAAGCGACGAGTTCAAGACAAGTACAATATGCCTAGTTGATTTAGATTTGCGTTACTCGTCTTTCTTTGAGTTTTGTTTTTCTCTCGACACGACTGTACGATGTTATGATTTAGAACATTTTATCTTCATGAGTTATTGTATGTTAATATTTTGCCGCATATGATTAGTTTATCGCTAGCTCATTTATTCGTATTAGTTCCCCTTGATTCATTTATCTTTTGGTCAGCTTCCCTTTACTACAAGTTACAACCTTTCTTTTCACGTCCTCATCGTTTCTTTTATATTGTCATACGGTGTCGGTTTTTCTTAGCTACACTTTATTCCACATTTGGTTAATTTGCGACACCTTGACATAGTCACATGGCTGGTTTTCTTTGTGTTCGTCACATATCATTTAATTTTATACGTGGGCAAATATGCAAGGATAAGGGAGTCAGTCACTTGTCGTCGTTGTTTTATTGAGCGTTGCTTATATTTCGTTTGTTCCCAATCTGGTACCACACCGCAACCATCGACCAATTAGTTGGGTGCAACATGGAGTTCGCTGAATTCTAAAATCACATTTTTGTTGTTGCCGGCTGGGCAGCTCAGCCCTGAAAATACTAAAAATCCTTTATCTCTAGTACATATTCAAAAGACATCATTAATGCAATACTCGTGGTCGATTGGTGCGCTATGTGATCAGAAAGCCTTTATGTTATGCCTGTTCAATGTTTGCTGTGCGCAGTGTTTGTGTTAGTGCACGGCCAGGCTGACCTGGACCGCACCGTCCGTGCGGCCGCCGGCCTCTTTTGGCTGGCCCGTGCACCGTCTGGGCCAGTGGCCCAGACCGTATCTTCCCGGTCTATCGTTGCGTCGTATTTTGTCTCTAAGGGTGCCCGGCGCGCCTTTCCGTGTAGACATTCTACCCCGTCCCCATCGAGCAGTGTTGTGATTGAGCGCCGATATCGTCTTTTCGATTTCGTGTGTATCTATCTGTTCGATGTGTCCACCCCACCCCGGTAGTCCTGGGGCGCACCTCGGGGCGCGGGCGTCGGTGCAGAGGGGCGCCATGTGACCTCAGCAGTCGCGGTGCTCCAATTCTCCAGACGCACCGTCGCTGCGTGAAAATGCGAGTCTGTGTGGGCATGAACGTGAGCGTGAGTGCGTGAAATGAGTGTTGAGCGTGCGTGTTGAGCGTGCGTGCGTTCGTGGGTGTCGATCGTTCCTACGGCGTGTCTGCGGACTTGCGTGTGAGCGTGGTAGCATGGTGTGTGAGCGGTGCTGACTTCTGGGGACCGCCTGTGATGGTTTAGAGGCTACCGACGGTGCCATGGAGGAGACCAGAGAGACCGAGACCGATTATGACGAGGCCGGAGACCACCGCCGCACGTACGCCCAGGAGCTGGAACCGGTCGACTGCACCGACTACGACTCCGACGGCTTCTCTTCATCAGGGGTGAGTAGTCTGCCGCAGCGACCCCGCCCCGGCAGTGGCGCCGGCAACACTCGGCTGGTGTATACCGCTAGTCTGCTCGGTCTTGTCGCCTTTGTCGCCTGATTGGACCTGCGCTATGCAGATTAGCTTGCTCGTGGCAGACTTAACCTTGCTTCGGGCGGTGACGAGCACCTAAACTGGATGCCCAGGTGTGGTGTGCGTCTGTGTTGTGTTTCTTTTTTCTCTCACCTTGTGGTCTAACACTTTATTTTGTTTCATCCTTTCAATGGTGTTTTGTCTACGGATACCTATCCATTGCGTGTCGTGATGGTGGTTTGTCTCTGGATGTCGGTTGTTTGTGTTGTTGTCTGTGGTTTCCCTCTTTGGGTCTGGGTGGCACGAGTTGGGCTGTGTCTCGATGGTCGAAATGGCGAAGCATTTCGGCAAACAGACCACCCGGTCGTCTGCGGAAGTGGCTCGCCATGGGCTGGCTGGTCATGAATGTTTCCACCTCACTTTTCACCTTCCCTAGTAGGCATTGCGTCTTGGCACGTCCACTCATGAAATCATCAAAGTAGATGTTTTCATGCACTTCTGAATCAGCATGTTTTCCTTCAGTTCGCTATCATATAATATTTAACGAAAGTCCGGTCACTAACATCCGTAGTACTAACACCGCGCGTCTCAAGCATTACATCAAGCATACATTCCGAAGAACTATTTCTCTTCCTTCTCTCTCTTTCATGTCATTGCTCTGTTGTCTTCTCTGGAGGCGTTTCATTTGTGCATTTGAAACGGGAATTTGGGTAATGGAGGCCGGGTGTGCATTTTGGTGAATTGGTGTTTGACTGATGTCGGCCCTTCCGCTAATCGGCCATCCACCTACTAGAAGCATTTCAATTAACCGATTTACCGTGGCGTGGCGCGCACATGGATTGCGGCGGCAAAGCGTTCGAGAACTCCCGCATTGGTCCTTACAAGCCCCCTCTTTATTATGAGCCTCCGCGTTTTTTTTTTTCAAATTTCCCCTTTGTTTGTGTTGTGACTGATGCTAATGTTGAAACTTGATACTGGCTTTTCACGCATGCTAAAATCTCTTATAGCTGTAAAAGCTAATTGTACCAATGAGGTCTGTTTATGTCTTGGCATGGTAATATCTGGACATACTTGTACATCGAAACGTAGATAAAAATTCTATAATTGTACACATAATTGTAATTGTATATATGAACTACAACGAAAGTTTCTTTCGGTACGATGTCCGGCTCAGCCGATCTGTTGGCCCTCTGTTTGCACCATCCCAGCCTGTAACGCGCGACTTGTGGACGTCCTATACCCTCCTCCGCTCGCGTACCAACAGTGTCAGCAAGCCCGCGCTCTGGGCATGATTCAGACTCGCCAAAAGCTAGCAGCGCGTTGAACAAGGTGCCGCGCGCGACAGGCACCAGACCTCTGCGTCATACCGCTTTATTAGCAATGCGCATCGCGTCTCCCCGCGCCCAGATGCCACACAGCTAGCTCCGCCTCCCCAGTGTCCCCAGCGTCCCGCGCACTGCGACCCTTTTCACTCATGTTGTACACCTGGTTGTCAATGGCGTTAGCTAGCGGCACACCGCTTTAGGCCGATTTTGGCACGCGATTCACACCTGATATTGCGAATGCTCCACTGGCGGGCCGCGCGCTCTCCTGTGCCGGAGCCGGCACGAGCCGCCTGCTCTCACGCCTGCTCAGCCTGTGATGGCACGCGCCTGGCGCCCTCCCGCGCTGCCCCGCCTGGGCAAGAATGTGCAGCGTCCCTGCGTTTGTGAGCCTGGCAGCACCAAAAGCTCATATTGCGTTATGCGCGTCTAACATTGGGCGTAACACTTCCTAATATTTTCTGGATGTAGTCAAACTGAACCAGAGTTCAGGCAAAATGAGCTCTGCACACATTATTAACATGTAAAAGATAAGACGCTTGTCTCTAGCAAGCAAATAAGCATTAATGCATGCCATTAATGCACGTTGCAATGCGTTTTGAAATGTTCGCATTTCAAAATGCGCCCTAAAATTTTAACTTTACCATCATCCACAGCATGGATGATGGACTTTACAACCAAAACTTAAATCTAGCGCCACGAACTTTAATGGCATATTCAGCTGCTCAGCAGTTTGTCTGCTCCAATTGTGCGACGGTGAGTGGCGCAGATGTGCTCCGACGCTCTCGGCGCCGCGCGCACCTCATAGCAGCGGCAGCAGCGCGTGTGGTGACGCACCAGAAGCTCTACTGGAAACACAGTGGCAGCCGGTGCTGGAACCGAACTCGAAGCCTCGCGTCCCAGAGGAGCAGACAGCGAGCAGCTGAAGGCGCTGGAGCCACGGGATGATGGAGCAGCTCAGAGCCGTGAGAAGCTGAGAAGCTGCAGCGCCAGTCAGCGTGCCACAGCCCGCATGGACTCCCGATACGAACTGAAACGGATGAGGATGTGTATGTATCAGGCGCAGCGCCCTACCAGGGTCATCACGTGCAACGGCCGCACTGCGCCACGCGACACGAAGCGGCACTGCGATCCTGCGCTCAGGGTACCCCGCAGATCTCCACTCATCTGCTGCGCTCTGCGAACTGGGAGCGGGATGGTGGCACCCCTGCGCCTCCGCGTGGACTCGCGATGCTCAGTGATGGTCCGTGCTGGTTCTGAGGACTGAGGTGATTTGCCCGGCGGTAGCTGCCGTACCGAGTGCTGGCACCGTGACCCGTCATCGGGCCGTCCCTGCCGCGGACGGGCCGACCACGGGCCCCGGCGCCGGCGGCCGGTAGGACAGCTGCCCTGGCCGGGGCCGCGTCAGCTGATCAGCGGGTGTGAGGGACTCCGTGCCCGGGATGTGGATCTGTGTGTGCTGGAAGTGAGCGCCGTGTCTCGGCCGTGTGTGGACTGGGAGAACGGGATGGTGGTGAAGCGCGCGCCGAGGTGACCGTGGCCGTGCTCGTCACTGCCCTGGCGTGTATCTCTCCGTAGCGCTAGTAGTAGTTTGCAGTTGACGTAGTGCGTACTGTAGCGCCAGTATTTTGTCTCAGTGACAGTCGCCTCGGCCTCCAATAGTTGGGGTCCAATGAGCGATTCTGTGTTATAGATTGCGTACGTCACGCTCGCCGTACCTGGATGCTGATGGCTAGGCCGTTATCAAGCACCTCGTAAGGGACATCCAGAAGGTAAGATGGTGTCGTTTTCTCGGTAAGGAGCTAGTGAACTGGATATTGCAACTCGCCTTTTGTTTGTACATATATATTTATAAACCTCATATTTATTTATCGACCTTACGATGCGCATAATGCGTAATTGCGCAAGTCTATTTTTTATGACTGTTATCCATTGGTAGTTCATGATTGACATTCGTTAGTTAGTCGTTCGCCACAATGGAACGTTGCTTTACATCAATAATGATGCGTGTTTTTCGAAGAGAGAAGACTACGAACAGGCTGAAAGCAAAGACTTCGAACTTAAAGCCCAGGCTTCACTACGCGATTTTCCCCGTGCGATTTTGCGGGATTGCGTAGTCGGCGATAACATACGTACAATGTTACAGCCGAATGACCTTACCTTTCACCTCCTCCACTCTTATCACATATTCTTATCACATTATAAACTTTCACTTCACCCGCCACCATTCACCAACGGTGCTCCCCGCGACTCCCGGAAGCGGCCGGCTATGGATATTGAGGCGACCAAACAATTATAAATGTCATTGTTGATGCGCTGAGTTTGTCGCTAGGAACGCTTTATCGCATTATCGCAAAAAGTTCAGAATTCTGAACTTTTTGGCGATATTGCGTGACATTTCATTCGATAATGCGATTTCCGCAGTGTGTGTGGCTCAGCGCATTCGTCTGCACTAGCTGAACTTTTTCTGGCATCGCATTATCGCAAAATCGCACGGAAAAATCGTGTAGAGGAGCCTGGGCTTTATCTTATTTATGTTAATAAGATGATGAGGGCGGGTAACAGAAGACATCAGCCGGATTGCTGAATGCAGGATTAAATGTTATTAAGTGTAGGGAAGACACGAAGAAACAAGAACTAGCTCCATACCACAGTCCACAGTTGGAGAAGATAGATGATACCATTATGACATAGACAAATTGGCATTTTATAAACTCTCAGTGAGCTGAAGATAGAGATAGGAGTGTGAGGGCACCGATTTGCTTATTTATCCGGTCACTGCCAGTCTTTCCTTGCCATGGTGACGTGCGTATTCTACTCCTAGATTGTAGAATAACCCACATGGTTGCATTGCAACTACTAGGCCTTGCATGCCTATATATAAATGAACTTACAATGTCATGGAGTGGGCATTTTTGTCAATACTTGTATGTGTCAAGATTTTAGCTTCATTGCGTAATCACATAGGCATTTCCTACCCCTTGATGAAAAAGTGTGTCGTCAAAGGCGTCGAAACTGAGCGTAAGAAGTGCGTCGTCACTGATCATAGCAAGCGACTTTTGCGATACCGATGTCACGACTCATGAAAATTGATAAATACCTAATTCAGGCACATAACGATTGTTTTGAAAACAGCCAATTTCATCAAAGTATGGATAACTTTGATGGTATTAGATCGCAATTCGATCATTAGTCTTCAATCCAAGAAACAGTTCGTGTAAACGGACGATAAGTTGACAAGTTAGATACTTTTAAATTTTATTTTGTTTGCTGATGTACTTTTTGGCATTGCAGTGGGCTTGTGGCTGACGCTGGACGTTTCTTGTTGAATATTACATGCTACATGTTTATTGATATTGTGTGTGTTATACCGCTTGGCGAAGTCTTTCGACCAACTGTAATATTATGTATGTTCCCTTGCAAAGTCCTTTGGAAGAGCGTGGTTGGCTTTGATTTGATCTGCTTATTTAACCAATCACCACTTATGCTAACTTAGCCCTTTCCAATTATAAAATGAAACTATACTCTAAGAAACCTCTTACTTGCAGCTCGATGACAGTTGATACAGTTAACTTTGCTTTTGACATGTTAAGAACACCTTAGCGTAGAACGCGTTTCTTTTTTCAATGTATTTCGATGGCGTGTTTTTTTTGTGTATGACGTGTGACCCCTATAGTCCGGACGTTCCCCTGGTCCGTGTGGCGGCGCCGGACGGCCGTCACTGACGCGCCGGTCGCTGGCAGGAGTCGGACGTCGAGTCGCCGCTGCACCTGACGGTGATGGCCGTCTGGATGGACGACGTCGGCATGATGGCCGACATGGAGACCTCCGAGTCGGACGCCGAGAACGCCGACACGTGGGTGTGCGCCGCGCCCAAGTGCCGCACCACCAATAAGGCCAGAAAGTCGCGCTGCGACCACTGCTGGAAGGTGCGCGGACCGGGCGGCGAGTGGGGGGATGCAGGTGGTAGTTTGGGTGGTGGAGGGACACGGGCTGCAGTTCCTATCGGCGAGGACTATAGTTTGGAATTTGTGCTTATAATGCCGGGTAGACGTTATGAGTGCATGATGTATTAAAGAATATGATTGTTACGGTGCGGTAGACTTGCTGGGTGCCCATAAGATGTGATGATGAGGGTAAATTCACCTTTTTTCTCGCCATAATGTGCCACTGTCAACTTCCCGCTATCTCGAACCGCAGCTGAAGACGCGGCATCCTCTTCGTGCTGGAACGGCTGGTGCGATGTTTTTGTCATTATATTGTCTGACGCCGCTCCCCGCGCTCTGCAGATGCGCCCGGACTGGGTGGTCGGTCCCCGACGCAAGCGGCAGCGGCGCCGGCAGCGCGCCGGCCTCTCGGAGAAGATGAGACGCACGACCTCCACGGTCGCCGCGTCCTCGGCGACGGCCAGCGCGAGTCCACAGGACTCTGTGGACACCGGCTTCGGCGGCTCTCAGGACGGGGCCTCGACGACGGCCGACCAGACCTGCATCATCTGCTGTGAAAAGAGCCGCGACGCAGCCATCATTCACGGCCTCACCGGGTGTCAGGTAACGTGCTACACGTGCGCGCGCAAACTGTGGAAAAAGAAAGATCTGTGCCCGTCGTGTCGGCGGAGTATTGAGAAAATCGTGTACTTGCGTTTCGGGTGATGGGGGGTGAGGTGTCGGCTCTGTCGGCGGGACTGCCAGGCGTCGCTCGGCGCCGGCGGAGCACGGCTGAATGGGGTTCTTCTGGCCGCGGAAAGAAGTATTATCTGTGATCGGCAGACCGGCGACTTGAAGGGTGTTCGGCCGGGACTTTGCTGATGTTTAGTTTATAGGTGTCGTGTGTGTACAGCGTGTGTCTTTGGCTGTTCTTGGTTCATTTAGTGGTTGCGTATTGGTTGCTGACAATTTGGGGCTATTCTGGGCTATCATGGCGTGATGCTAATGCTATTTAAGCTAGGTGTGTGAGACAGGTTTCTGGGTAATGTTTCCTTCAACATTGACAAGAGGATGTAAGACGGACTGGCCGCGATGGCAGGTTCAATGTCTATTATACAGAAGCTATTATTCAAATCAATTCTTTATTCATTTACGGGTAGTTTGATCTCTCTCAGAAACCGTTCAGTTTTTCCTACGTTTTTTCAATTGATTTTCCCACAATGCGTCGCCAAGTTACCACTGCGGTTAGAACAGCAGTGATAAGCTTTTTCGTCGGAGTGTTCAAACTGGCACCAGCATCCTTCAAGTCGCCGGTTCTGTCTGATGTGTCGGTTTTGTAAATCCCGCGCCGTCGGCTGTGCTGGGTTGAACGTGCAAACAAAGTTTTAATTCGCTACACGCCGTAGCAGCAAGCTCCTGTTTACTAATTCATGAACATTTTAAATTGATGCTTTTCAATTATAATGTTCATTGATTGACTGATGTGTAATGCCTGTGTAACGGCTACTGACTACAGCATAGCCCTCACCCGCCAAAGATTGAGTCGCGGAAGCACGCTGTTGGTTTTCGGTCAGCTGTAGTCTTACATCAGGAGCTAGGTAGCAACATCAATGGTGCAGATGACGAAAAAAAATTGTGAATAAAGGTAGAAACGTTCCGTATGAGTGACTTGTCGTTAGTGTGAGTGAATTGCAGTCCTCTTCTCTCTGCGTGGTAGGTATTTGTATTTCGACAAACCAGAGAATCGCGCCAAAGCTCTGTTACCAGTCACTCGGAACTCATAGCACAGAGACGCGGGATGCTCAACGCCAAAGATTGAGCCCGCTATTGGCATCACTCTCAACGGGTAAAAAATATGCATTCTGCCAAATGCAGGCTTGTGCCTTTTGTTGCTGCACTGCGTGGAGGTCGATGTCAATGCTGGGCTCAATTTTTGGTGTTGCGTTCCAGCGTCCCCATGCTGTGAGTTCCGAGCGACTGGTAGCAAAGTTTTAGCACTGTTTTCGGTTTTGTCGAGATACAAATGCCTACCGCGCAGTGAGACGAGAGCTACATATGCCTTTGCCTTATATTATATCTAAACAAACTAAAAAAAAATGTAGGCTTCGCACTTGTCATTCAGGTAGTGATTTATGAAAAATCGGAACATGCATGATCGATAAGCTCCGTCCTGTTAAAATTTAAGCCGAACTGCGTATAAAATCAATGGAGTAACATAGATAAAAGTGCACCGATAAACCTAAAGAAAAAAAATGTAGATGATATATGCAGCATCCCTGCCGTGCTGGTGCGTCCGTGGTAGATGTAGTGTAGGTACTAGCGTGGGAATGTAGTGAGATCAGGTATTGGGTAGCGATAAAAATGATAAACTGTCGTATGTACCATTGATGTAGCTGGTTGGCTCGTTTTGTCTGATACATGCGACCGAAAGACGGCACCGTGCTTCATGTGATGGTGAATTGAACGCCGGCCGGCTTGTGAATGTACAGGCGCACGCTGCGCTGCCCAATATCAGCTCACCGAATTGCATCTGTATAGTAATCAGTTGCCATCATTAGCCTAGCATTCACCTTCGTTGTTATTGGATTTGCCTTTTTCGCTGAAGGTTGGGAAGTTAACAGATTCTCCCTGGTGAAGTGGATGCTTCATTAGTTGCTCTGTGTGAAGCTTGTGAAATACCACAAATAACAAACAATACACTCTTCACAGGACTCGCTTGGTTTTTGGGTAGGGGTGTTGCAGTGTGTATACTCGGCTAAGGAAAAACGCATGATATAACGTTTAGGTACCTACAACCTCAGTGAAGATCAGAAACGGGCTTAATTGCACATGGTGGAGGAAAAGATGAGCAGATGATGTGAAGAAGTTGCACGCACACAGTCATCACAATCGACTGCACTGAAGAGGTTACAGTATGAAGGAGGTGCCAGGTACCTACACTTGTTTTATGGTTTGTAAACAGTTGGGAATGCCTTTTATGTCTTCAATTTTTTGACGAGCACTTCAAGGCGCAAATTTGGAAGGGGGAGGTCAATATCACATATGACCAGCGTGTTTGTGAGGCATGTTCTCTGGTTTTTATATTGCGAGCTTTGATAAACGACAAAACACCACACCACGATTAAAAGTTGAAACGCACCGGATGGTGGATTGGGACCGGTAACAATAAACGTTACAACAAACATTTATTTGAGGGCGATAGAGGCTGGACTGTGAAGGTCAGACGGGTCACTCACAACAGATGGCTGACTATGCATAGTCAGCGCGTGGAATGAAGAGCGCATTCGGAGCACGAATTACCTCGCCAGTCCCCGGTCGGATGAGGTCGGCGCCCGAAATGAGGCTGCGGGCACTCGCCCAGCTCGTGATTCGTGACCACTGACCACCAGCTGTTTTTGGTGGGTGCGCCTGCCTGTCTTCGATTCGTGGCCACCAGCCGATTTGGGTGGATGATGTGCCAGTCTTCTGGTTTAAGGACGGACGGCCCTTGGTAGTTAGCTGAATGGGTGCACCTCACACACGGGCCAGTCTTAACGGTGACACCGCGCAGAGTGCAATACACATTACCCAGTACCCACGCACATGGCCGGTGCCGGTGAACCGAGATGAAAATATTGGGGTCACCAGAATGAGGCCATCCCCATCGTTCTATCTCTTTCCAATCGAGAGTTATTGGCAGACCTCAACGGGGCGCGGGTTAAGGGGGGAGGGGGCACTGCCGACTTTTGGTCCCATTGCTTCCAGTTGCAACGCCCATAGGGCTAATATTAAAATGCCAAAATCAAAGAGGGGCACGGTGCCCCGTTGCCCTCCCCGTTCCGCCGCCTATGGCTAGCGCTAGGTAGTCTGTGGACTGCCGACTACGACTACGAGGGCTGTGTCTCGTGCATTGCCGAGGCTGAGGGAGGATCAGAATGAATCTATACATGAGCCTACAGCCATTGATCATCGGAAAATCAGCGCACTGCTGGCTGAATGGGAGGGCAATAGCTGCTATAGGTAAGCGACCGTCCTCGACCACCTCGGCACCGTTAAACTGTCAAAGGCCCGTTCTAACCGTTTCTGAACATCAACAGCCCCTGTGCACAGTGCAGTGGCGGCGGAACACGGCGGAACAACGGGGGGGGGGGGGGGGCACTGCCGACTTTTTGTCCCATTCTTTCCATGCAACGCCAATAGGGCTACCTATGTAAACCCGGCGGCCGCTGGGCCTCCGCGCCACCCGCCGGCCGCTGGGTGGGCATATAGTTGCCCCCCCTTTACTTCTGCGACGCTATCGTCGCAACGCGAAGAGATAGAGAAGCGAAACTTTGCACACACCTTCCTGAATACCTAGCCGAGGTTGTGTCCAAATTTGGTGTCGATCCCATTTGAAATGACGTCACAGTGACGTCATAAGTGAAATTATAGATTTGCGACTCTCATATTCCTCACGATACATCAGATATATGGGACCGAATATAAAGGGTCGATTATTGGTCAGAAACTAGATAGAAGTGTAGTAAGATGTTTTAGGATGACAGCAGGTGCTATCTAGTTCATTTACAGTTGAGTTTCATGCTCAGCGTCATCAGAAACGGTCCATATCGGAAAACGACAAAACTTTATGACGTCACTGTGACGTCATCTTAGGTGCTACAACCACTAAACTTTCCTCAAACATTGCCTAGGTATTCATTTGAAGCTATGCCAAGTTTCACGTTCGTAGCTCATCAGGTTTCGGAGATATTTCACAAAAAGTAAAGGGGGGGCAACTTTATGCCCCCCCCCCCCCCCCCCAGCGGCTCGTGGGTTAAAATGCCAAAATCAAAGTCCAAAGGGGGCACGGTGCCCCGGTGCCCCCCGTTCTGCCGCCTATGCCTCTGCGGGCGCCACCCCCCATCATCACAGCTGGACGTCGGACCGGGACGACCCGCTTCCGCCCGCCTCCCCCAGACGTCTTACCCCTCCCCCTCCCCAGTCCCCTCACGCCCGCCCGCCGCCCGGCACCTGTCCGACTCCGGCCTTGGGCTGACACCTGGCGGCGGCGCGGCGAACCTGGCAGTTCAAACATGGCGCCGCGACGGACGGGAACGCCGCGGAGCAGTTCCGACAGTGAAATTGTCAACAATTTCGATTATTTGCGCCGTGTGGGAGAGTGGCGGAGCGCAGCACGTCGACGGGACAGCGTGCGTACTCTCCGGCGAGAAAAGGTAAGTTAGCAACGCCGCTTTCCTGGTTTCTGCTCAGATTTTCCCCCGGCCTCACCGTGTTGGAGTGCACGCGCTGCAATCTGAATTGGAATCGGGCGGTATTGAGGATTTCATTTCATTGCAAAGAGCTCTGGCTGACACTGGAGCGAATGTCGGGTCGTGCTGCAGCCGCTGCGGTTCTGCAGAGTCGACTGGAGTGCTGTGAGTCATCGACTCACTCCCAGGGGCCAGGGCCGCTCCGGCCTGGCTCCGGCCGCTCTCGTCCCCTCCCCTCCCCGCGCTCCCCGCCCCCTCCCCTTCTCCCTTGCCTACTCGTGTCTCGCGGCCGGTCGCGCCGGTCGGTCACTCACGCGGCGCCCCAGTCTCCACCATTGGCATGTGAGGACCATTATAGAGTTCAGTGGTGAGGACAGATATAAATCGGGGGCGTGGTGTTGGTGGACTAACGCCTCTACCAGTCCAACAGAAAAAAAGCCGCCTGCCGTTTTTTTTTTGCCTAAGGCCGTTTCACATAGTTACGAAGCGGAGCGTAAACGCGATGGGCTTGTAAGCGGATAGGGCTTTATCGTTTACGCTCCGTGCGTGAAATAAAAATTCTGGCAGGCGGCTATTTTTCTATTGGTAAAACTGGCCTCTGGTCCGCATTGGTGATCCCGATTCCGAATTTTAGTCTAAGCTAAAATCCTGTCTGTGGGATGTTAACAGCTTTGACCGTAGGTCAATGTTTTGACCTCTAAACCACGCCTTGAAAAATAACTTGTGGGACACTTACTTCTATGAATCCATTTCACAAGAATTGCCCTAGCCCTATACCTACTACAGAATACAGACTATGGTTCGTTTTTTTTCAGTTGGACCCAGCTGCTCTTTGGGGGGAGGGGGATAGTTTGGTGGAACGGATAATTAACCCGCGCCCCAGTGGCGGTCTCAGCCAACTTCGCCCTAGTGGGGGGGGGGGGGGGGGGGGAGGGAGCATATGGTACCACCCACCTCTAACTCAAAAACTAAGAGCCTAAGAGGGCTAGAAATACGCGATAAAAAGCAGTCGATAGCTCTCAATGCGTACGTTTGAAAGTAGGTATTTCAGTCATTTTTCATCTTAGAGCAATATTGGGGTCACCAGAGGTCATCAAAGGTCAAAATTTGCGAATTGTCATTATATTTGTCAGAAAACATGTCATTATCTCAGGAACTACGATAGCTAGAAAAACGCATGGAAAAGCAATCGATAGTTTTTGAACTCTTCTTATGATAGGGTCATCATCAAAAATGACCTCAGGTCAGCGGTTTAGCCTCCAGAGGGCAGACTCCAAAAATAGCTGTTTTACGAAGTGTATTTCGACAATAACTTTTAACTAAAAATAGCCACGACATTTCTTATGCCAGAATCGTGTTCCTCTCGCCGTGACGCGTCGAATGAACTATAATTTGACCTTAAAAGGTCAACTTGAAAATTTGAACTCAGGTCAAGATCCTGACCTGACCGGAAAAGGTCATGTTGCATATCAGTCGATGCGTCTCGGCAAGACAAACACAATGAGGCCATCACCAGCGTTCTATCTCTTTCCAATTGAGAGTTATTGGTAAAAATATGTGTGTAGCCTCAAATGACCTCGGTCCTCACTCCTCGGGTGACCTTTCTAGAGGCCATCAGCAAAAAAGACATCTTGGTCGTCACGGGTGGTCTAAATCATTGTGATTCTGAAATATTTGGACTGTTCATATGCGTACACATGGATCTAGATGCATTTTCGTTTTTCTCCATTGACTTAAAATGGAAAGGTCCCTCCACTGGCCTGACCTTAGGTCACGGATATAAAAAAATCCGAGATATACAAGTTATAGGCGCCCATAACATCACGCAATCCACCAAGTTTAAAACCTCTCTGACAAACACTGCAGGCTGGACATGATTGCAAACTTTTTTAGGCTTGGTCAGTTAACTTGACCTGGTGACCTGGTCTGACATGACCTGGTGTCAAAAATTTCACACATTTTCCAAAATTAATGTGCAGAAAGCTACGCGCCGCGGTTTTTTCATTCACACGCAAAAAAACGCGACAAGGTGGTAACATGTGGTGCCCCCCCCCCCCCCCCACTGGGGCGAAGGTTAATTTTGATCGTTAGTGGAACGACTGTCAGCGAAAGTTATTGAGAGCGTGGGAAATCGTAGAAAATATACTGGGGCACCATCGAAGTCGAGACCCAAAGACCGGGAATTTAGGTACGTAGTTTAAATGAATCTGACATGTAGGGCAGGCGCGTAACCACGAGTCTGAAGCTACTGGGGACCACATGGAAGGCCGCGAAGACCAAATATTATATTTCAGGTGTCGGATGAGATACGTGGGAAGGGTGGAAAATTGTTAAGAATAAAATCTATCTTTAAAAAGATCTTAAACCTCGCACTGGCAGCGCATTTTTCATAACGCGGCTTGGCAGGCAGGTCAAAGGTCAAATTTCCGGGAAAAGCTATAATCTTCCAAATAACTTAGCCAGTACCTATTGGCGAACCTATG